GTCCAGGGCATTATCCCACAGTGCCACACAAGGAGTCAGGAGTCACTATTAAGGGTAAATTCACTGTTGTATGATTCTTTTTAAAGACTGCATTTTAATGTTCTGAATACTTTATAGTCTTTAAGTTTTAAAGGCAGCCGAAAAGCACAAAGAAAACTAAGTATAAAAATTATTCACATTTTATAAGAATATGGAAAAACCACCACCACCACCACCTAGTGCCAATTGACATGCGTGGGACTCACTAGTCACCAGACAATTCCTCACCATGACTTTTATACTTAAATATCGATGTCCAGCTGCTACCTTCAGTATCTGTCTTCAAAGGTCTTACTCTTTACTTCGGCATTTTTGTACTATGATGCCATTTATAACTGTCTTCAGCTATAATAACCTTATTAAATAACTATCTTTCTGGCTGGCAGCAGACACAATGAGGAAGGTTGGTCTGGGTACTAATGACTAATGGCTGAATCAAAATTTTGGATTGTGTCTTTTTTTTTCCCCCTTTCATTTCCTAGATTTAGAAATCATACATCTTCAATTTAGCTATATCCTTCTGACACAAACACAAAATCTTATGAAATGTCAAGATTTCCATCATCAAATCCACTTTTTTTTATCACTTTTGGACAATAAGGCAGTCATTCTAATGATCCAAAGTTGTCACAAGACTTTTTTTCTGTTCAGACTAAGTGTTTCCAAAGGATGATCCAATTCATGTGAGGATGAGAAAGAACAAACCCTATGCTAAAATGCAAACTATAGTTTATTTGCTCTTTGTGCAAAAATAACCCAAAAATAATAAAAATACTGAATTTAGTCATAACGAGGTAGAAAGAACAGTAAAGATCTTATTTAATGTGCCTTAGAAAGCTTAGAACATTTCAAAAGAACAATGTTAGCCATAAAACAAAAATTTACTTTAAAAATGAAATCTTGAGTTTCAGATACATAGACAAGAGACATTCCAGAAGGTGAAAGCAGTTTCTAAACCACGGACTGCTTCCAACACTGTCAATACTGGTTTCGAAATTGGTTGCTTAGGTCTTGGAGCTCCATTACTGAGGCTTCCATAGCTGCTATTTCTTCAGCTAAGTCGCTGGAAATTTCTCCACTTGCCACATCTGTAAAATGTTGCTGCAACATAAAAAAAAAAAAAAAA